GTAATCCCCCCCCCTGGCTCCCATCGTGTAGCCTCACCCGGGTCGTCGGGTACGGTCGGGTGTCCCCGTGTACGCACTTGATCCATACTTGTGCCCCCGTGTGCCCTAATCTTCCTAACGCGTCTCTCCGCACTAGCGTCTGTCCGCACCCTGAGTCTAGAACGGCCTCTACTACCTCCCCGTTCAAGCGTATCCGCCTTATCATGCGGGCCCGGCTTACCTCCTGCCGCGGGCCTTTCCGGGGTCTAGGTTGGCCGTAGGTGCAGTCCATCATGGGGCAGTCCCGGCGGATGTGGCCCTCCTGGCCGCACTGGTAGCACGTCGGTTTTGGTTGGCTCCTCTGCGCATCCTCCGCCCTCTTTCCGACTTCGGCCCGGGGTTCCCCTTTTCCGTGGTCCTCGGTACCGCGCCATACCGGGGCCAACCGTCGCTCCGGTCCTCGGACTGGGGGGCTTCCAGCCCTAGACCCCGTGTTGTCCCGCCCTTCCTTCCCTTTGGGGCTAGGGCCTCCCCGACCCACCGGGTTGGTCGTTGTGCCTACCTTGCCATGTCCTTCCGGCGTCTCGGCTGCCAGGAAGTGTTCCATGAGCGTGACCGCTTCCTCTAGGGTCCCGGGCAGGTGTCGCCGTACCCATTGTTGGCCCTCCGCGGGGAGCACTTGTAGGTACTGCTCGAGTACGACCAGGTCGGCCACCTGAGTTGCGGTCTTGGTGGACGGTTCCAGCCACCGAAACCCGGCTTCCCGGATCCGCTGCGCGACTGCCCGCGGCCGCTCCCCCGTTGCATATCTGGCCGCCCGGAACCTCTGCCTATATGTCTCGGGCGAAATACCAAGTTGGTCGAGAATCGCCTCCTTGACCTTGTAGTAGCACAGCGAGTCCCGGTCGGACAAACTCCGGTAGGCGAGTTGGGCCGGACCGGACAGGTAAGGGGCGAGTATAGTAGCCCAGTGCTCTTGGGGCCAACGGGCTGCCGTGGCCACACGTTCGAAAGTTACCAAGAATGCCTCGGCGTCGTCCTCGGCCCCCAGTTTGGTGAGCCTGATGGGGAGTCGCGCTGGGCCCGCCGCCTCCTCCTCTTCTTCATTGGTGGGTCCGATCAGCCCTGTCCCATCCTTCAGCTCCCTCACCAGCTGCTTCTGCTGCTCTCTAAACTCGGAGGTTAGTTGTCGCAACGCCTCCGTTTGTTGTCTCTGGAGCTGGCGCTGGCTATCCACCAGCCATTCTACAATTTTGTCGGCATCCATGGTGCCGTGTCCTATTCGAAATGGCAGTTAGGGTAGAGTGGCCCTCCGTCAGTGAAAACGGAAGGCAAAACAAACCACCGCCCTCGCACCCTGGGTTTCAGGGGCGCAAAAATGCCCACATTCTCCACCACGTGTCACGGGG